TAGTCCAGTTTCATAAACTCCATAATTCATTTTGAAGATTTGGATTCCTGAAACTGCTGGAATGTTGAAGTTCATCAAGTCTTCAAGCCTCACAGCCAAGCAGCACTTTAACCAATCTTATCTCCAGGAATCAGGACTGTTCTCTTTGTAAAAAGTTCAAGAGTAAGTAAAAGGCAAGTATGTTTTTTTGACCCCAGCCAAGAGAGAAACGTTAACTCTACATATTAACTCTGGTTAGAGACATATGTACATACAGACCCTACATACATACAGAGCAGTTCAGAAGGTTTAGAGACCTCTGTTTTATACTAGAGTCTTACCAGTCACAAGAAGAATTTCTTCAGGTCACCCAGACTACAAGAAATGAGTTAGTATCCCGAAGCTCATCAAAAATATGGGCTTCCTCCAAAATCTCTCCCCATAACCAAATCATTTTAGGGAAGACTAGCAGCAGCTACACAGTCTCATGCTGAGGTCTGGGTGCCACTTCACAGTGAATTCTGTTAACGATGCCTGTTATCTTGTTGGACTGATGATATCAGCAAACGATGAGATTTCTCCTGCCCAAGGGGGTTAGAAAATATCTATTCCATTGAACTTTAAAAGGCAGACCTGTCAAAGGGCAAGTCCCTGGGGCAGAGAGACTGGATGGCAACAACATCCAGTGTCAGCTTACTGGGACAAGGATATGACCTAACTCCAAATCACTAGAGAGCAGGTGGCTAGATCAAATTCTTCCCCATTACCAATTCTTTGGAAATAAGCTCCATAAAAACCGCTCCTCCAAGAGTACATAATTTAAAATCTATCTGTAACAAATACTGATCCAATTGACAACGCAGATGCAGCTGCTTCGATAACCAATTAGATACAGTCCCTCAGTGTTGCCCTTAGGAATCCCAACGTCTTCAATGTCCAAAATAAAACCCCAACTACCTGTTCAGTTGGTCCATCCACAAGATGACTTACTGAACTCACACACAACGATAACTGTGCAAAAAGGAGAATTTCAAGTGATCTATATCTCCTTTAAATACACTTCCAAAGCAGACCATATTTCTGTATTGCTTTGTGATAAGCAGTCAGTCCAAGATTATACAGTGGATTAAAAAAAACAACCAACCTTCACCCAGAAGCTACAATGCTAATTAACAGTCTGCCCTATCATCTTCCACAGTTACCTTTACCTTCTGGTACTTTTGAGCAAACATATTTCTCCAGGCTCACAAACATACTATCAGGAGTCACAGACTTTCAACGCAGGTCCAATTGGCAGCCCTTCTCACAGTAGAGGCTCCCTGCACAACTAGCTACCTCAAATATGTATCCTCCACCTTTTCTTAACACCAAACGCTTCAGGAAACATATCAAGAGAAGACATTTCATAACCATAAACAAATCACAGCTAAGTTCAAACCTTGGTGCAATCTAACACTACTACCAGAGAGATTTGTGTCAGCAATAGTGTAATCCTATGATTTATTTCACAAATTTTAAATCAAAACCACCTGGATTCTCACCTCTGCTGTATTACAAGCTGCAAGCTCAGATATACAAAAAAGTAACTATTAAGTCAGAATTTATATCACACACTAATTGACTTATGGTTAACTCTTAGCTGATAGCCACCACAAGGTAAGTAGAACTGGTTTAGTCCTCTTCCACTGTCAGTAACAGGCATTTTCTTATTTAGCAGAGACTAAATGAGCTCAACTTAAGTCCTGTGTGCTGTAGGTTATTATTATACTGTAGGTTAGTGTCATGCACAGAGAAAGTTACCATGGATCAGCAGAGGAGCAACAGCTTATCGCTTAATGCTAATTTGCTTGAATGCTTGGGGCCACACTCTGTCATTTGCTTATCTCTGCATCTGTTTCCTCATTAACAAATTAAACATATTCCTTCTTTCCTCTTGTCAGTCAGTTGACTGTTCTGTATTATGATGATGATGATGATGATGTCTCTGTATTATTATTATTATACATGCAGTTAAATTACTACACATACTAGTGCTTACTAGTCAATTGTTCCACAGTATTAAAAATGAAAGTTGTAAATTCCAGCCAAACTTGTATGATATGAAAATAATTTAAAAATAATATAAATTTTCCTTTCACAATTCCATGAAAATTGGTCTCATAAGAAGAAAAAATCCCCACTTAACCTTTCAAAAACAAGAGAAAAATAAGCCATCTGATGAACATTAGCTGACAGTGGATACTGATAAATTTAAGAAAATGGCTATTTCTATCTCACAATTTAGTAATACTGGGTTTATTCATAGTTTTGCTATTCTTCAGAAAGATATAATGAAATATTTCTGAGCTCCTGTCCATCCACTCAAAGAAATAACCAACCTGTGCTGAAAGTATTCAAGAGGGCAGTTTCATCATGAAAAGGTCACAAAGATGTAACAAGGTACTGGCAATTGCAGCACCTTCTAGCTCAGAGAGAGGAATTTCTTGCTTTTTTTACTACTTGATACAGACCGATTCTACTATTCTGGTTTCATATCATTATTTTTATCTGCATTTAACTATAGAAGACTATTAAAAATATACTCAGAAGCCAATATGATTAGACCTTGTCAGGTACAGGTCTGTATTTGACTGCTATCTGCATGGCATGTTACTTCTTGCCTGTACAGGTTCTCAAGATGCAAAGTGCAATAATGATAAATGAATATCTATATATTACATAAAACAAATTATTTGAATGTGACATCTAAGTAAATGCTCAATCTCTGCATAAGATTCTGGCTGATTTTGAAAAAAAACACCAAAAACAGTTAATGACTACCATGCCTCCATAATAGTTTACCAGCTGCATAAACGGCTGGCTAGTAGTACCACCACTGACTAGTGATGGCAGTAGCCAAACTGCTCTTACAGATTAACTCTTATTAGTACCACCTGAAAATACATCTGCAATGTTTTTTATACACGGTGTTAAATTAAAAACTGATCATGTCTTCTGAGATTGGAGCATGTTCCTATGCTGTGTCTTGGAAAATGCTTAGCACTATTAAAAACCTTCTGATAACTGACGTGCCTTAATATGAACTTTTAGTTGTCTAAAATCAGGCTCTTGTTACTTTAAAAGTTAAAATTTCATGTATTATCAGTTCTGCTGTCAGCAGAAACAGAAATTAATGACTTTGATAAGAGTATTCATGATTTTTGTTCTTGTTTTAATTTAATATGCACATTAGTATGGATGTAACTTAAAGGCTTGTCATGTTTTAATCATATGACGTCCAGCAGTCCTTTCCAACCTAAACCACTTCATGTTCCTGTGATAGCCAATGGTGAGAGAAGAGGGGAAAAGTTAATGAAATGTACAAGACTGTACAAGAACAAGAGTTAACTAATTCTTCCAGTAGGGGGAGATGTTCTTTTAAGTTTATCACCAATTAAAAACTGCTAATCAATTTACCCCTGTATATTTTTAACAAAATCAACCTCATATGAGAAATCAGTATGTGTGCCTTAGTAGTGATATTCTCCAAAAGACAGTTGCATGAATATCAGAAACACATACAAAATTTACAGCACATGGCCGTAAGAGAAAAACATACCACTGATGGAGCAAACTGTAGCTGATAGCCACCAAAACCTAAAAGGCCTTATTCCATTTCAAAAACAAAGTCTCTCCAACAGCAATGTTTTTTCACCCACACAATAAATGCAATTTTTAGATGTCAAAGATGCTGTAAATATCATAAAGAAGGAAAAAAGGATTAAATTTTTCAATTTAACAATAGCAAATTAATATTTTAAATAAAAAATTAACTGTTGCCTGAAATGCTCCCTGTATCTCAGAACAAAATCTGAGCTGTGTTTTTCTCCTTATTTCCAAATTTGTTTCTAAAAGTTTAATGTCAGAAGTAATACCATCTCATGACACACTGTAATTACATTCTCCTTCTTAAGCAGTTTTCTTTTAAAAAACCTTCCTGAGAATCAGGGAGGTTCCTGAGGAGTGCAGGTTACCATCCTTTTTCTATGAATGCAGCTCACTGTCCACTATGTTGCAGTTCACCATTCTTCCAGTTGTGCCACTGCCACGGTGGATGACGACATAAATCAGATGTCTGAAACTTTTACTATTTTCAATATCTGATCTGAGTAAAAATAGAATACTCTCACTCCTGCCTTCCTCCCAAAACAATGACTCAGATAATTTCTTAGATCCCCTTCAATAAAGCAGCACTTGCACCAGTACTGCTGAAGGTGCAGTGAACTGGGAACATGTCTAGAGGAACACCTTAATCTGACTTTGTCACCAGAGAAACAGCTGTGAAAGTACACCACAGGCTGTTTTTAAAGCAATCGTGGTGAGAGTGAAAATTCTGTTTATTAAAGAAGGTTGCGATTTATTACTGGTATATTTAGATGTCTATATGTCTCAGTCATTCCTGAAAACTCCTTTTACAGTCTGTAGTAAAATCAGAACCCAAATAGGTAGAATCTGGGACTTTAAATGCAAGTTTCCAAACCAACTGAGATGAATATGGGATGACAGGTACCTATTTCAACTGGATGAACAATTCAGATACAGGCAGGTACAGTAGAAGGATACGAATTTGATGAGTTGATTCTTCCCCAGTTTGTCTAAATAGAGGTGAGATACAAGCTGAGCCTCCTTGTATCTCTTCTGCAACACTTTTGATTGGTATGGTCAGAACAACTTTGGAAAGAATAACGTTATTTTCCCCATTGTAGGTGCAGGAAAATGAGGCAGTAGTAGGTTCGCCAAAGTCAGCCAGCAGCTTTTGACAGAATCAGGAAAAAAAAAAAAAGCAAAACAGTCTGGAATTCTAGTGGCTAGTCTTGCTAAGTGAACAGAAATCACCACTGCTGTTAAGTACCCAGCTCGTTTTCCCCCTCTAAAGTTGCCTATCAGTAAAACACCCCACTTTTTATGTTAAAATGCTTTGGATACTACCACTCTGAAAACTGATGCTGCTTTTACTTTCACAGTGCTGAGAGGAGACTCACCTGCAAGTACAACTCCAAGCCTTGTCGTCGCTGCTCCAGAACCTTGGGGACCCAGTTTCTCACGTGCTTTGAAGGTATCTCTGGAGTTCTTATGAACTTCTTGAGCTGCAAATGAAAAGAAATGCAGACAAAACCAAAGTATAATAGTGTCCCTTTAAAATAAACATGATTATGTTAGAGATGAGGCAGTTCAGGTAAAATAACCACGCATAAAGGACAACAGCACAGCAATGAAGTTACTCACCATAAGCTCACTCAAGTAACAGCAGACTTCATACCTACAGGTTGCACTTAAAAATCTCCATGCCTAACTGTCCCAGTACCCTACTAAAATTTGTTGTGACTAACGGCCTTAGAACAAAACAGCAACGACTGTATGAGAATACTTGAAATGAGTTCCCTGTGAGTCAACCTGGGACGATGCCTCACAACATCACCATGACATACCCAGATACTACCTTGCTACCTGTGGTGACAGAACACTGAGACAACTTCTAACTCTAGATTTAGGCAACTATGAACAGGTGGGAGAACTACAGGGAGAAGAGCTAAGCATTTCTCTGGAGAGCTGGCAATTAAGACAGCAAAACATCGGCGCTCTCAAATTGCACCAACAAATTGACGGTTATGTTTAATATCTTATACAGAGAAATAGCAAGATTGTCGCTGAATATATTTCCCAGAGAACTCCATAACTATTCCTCCAAAGACTCCCACAGGAAACCTTTTATAGATATATACAGAAATGCGTATATGTATACACACGAGTGCATACAGGTATGCACAAACACACATTCTGACAACATTAAGAATCCTCTTGCCAGAGCAACATATTTTTTCAAAACCAAAAAATATTGTTTTCCTCAAAACTACAGAGCAAAAATAATAACTGAAATAGACTCCATTGCATTTTAATAGAAGGTGACATTAGACATTCTTTCTGTTAGATATTGCCTCTGAGTAAATCCGAGACAAGGAATTCAAGGAAAGAAACTCAAAATTGACTTTGACATGCATACCCATGGGAGACTGAGAATTTACATTTCATCTTTGAGCTTGCTGAGATGTCACTATAGGAAAAAAGCAGTGCCAACATATCAACGCCTCTACAATTACAAGTAACGAAACTGCAGCAAGGAAACCTCAATTGCTCTGGGAACATTTTGCGACTTCCTTATTTCTTAACAGTGCTAAATTACAATTAAACGTGAAGTGAGCAAAACAAAACCCCAAACCCATGTACTTTTACTGACTGACCTTAAAGCCAGAATATAAACCCCCATTTTTTTCTTCTAAATTGGTTCAGAATGTTGAAGAAGCTATGGTCGCTGCTGTTGCAAACTACGACAGTACCTACAGATGAGTAACAAATGAGGAGAATGCTCCGGATGAGGGGAGACAGATCTGAAACAATACAAGCATCCACTAAGGCCTAGATGCTTACAAGATAAATACTCTGGCTGGTACCTCAGCTGATGATTAACAATCCTTTTCTGCTATGTAGCCCGGTTATATAAAGCATCCAAAAAACAATTGCATAAATGTTCACACACAGGTGCTCTGTGTAGGTACAAAGCACGTGCTATACAGATGAACAAAGAATAAATTGTAAGCCCACTTTCTTATGCTTATAATAACCCAATAATATATTGCAACAAATAATTATTACAATGTCAAAGAATATTACGCAAACCTATGTATGTATTAGCTATATTGCTTCAGACCTGTCCCTAAGCAAGAAATATTTATCTGAGCACAATTATTGGCTGTAATACCTTCCTGTCAGTAACACCAATGTAATATGTATTTGACATACTGTAGACTTTGTTCCCTACCTACAAGACTAAAAGATGGCTCAGATTATCAAGTAAAGAATTATTTGTTCAAGTTTGAAAAGTCAGTATGATTTAGAGGGTACACTAATTATTCCAAAATTATAAGTTGCAAAACAAGATGTATAGAACTCATGATTTTTGCAAATTTCACTGCAGTAGTTGCAATACTGTCACCTAGCATTCTGGTGCTTAAAAAGAACTACTGATATTTAAAAATGCAAAGGAAAAAACTATAAAAAGGAATTAAGGAATAAATACAAATAAATGATTGTATTTTTACACATTTTATACACATAGAAATAATTTAATTATTTCTAAAAAATTCCCCATATGAGAATAAAACTTTTGTTCCAACTTGAATACAATACTACAACGTGCATGGTGCATAGCCTAGAAGGCCTGGTTTGTCGTTCATAACCAGGGCAAAGTATAATGGTCTATGCAAACTATTTCAAAAAAGCCAACAGCAGTGGATGGTTTCTGTCACGGGAATAATTTGTATTCCTGATGTAGCATGGCAGTCTTGAAAAGATTTTAAACCTTTTTCACTACAGCTGGATTGCACAGGAAGTGGGGCTTTACTTTTTTACACAACTGGGTTGAACCCAGGAAAGAGACAAATTCAGCCATGTTGTTGGAAATGGTTTTGCTTAAAAAAAAATAAAATTATCAGAATTAATCAAAACATTAATGGGCATTCTGCTGAATGAATAATGTCCTATATGAGCAATGGAGTCCTCCTTCTTCTGTATGATGACAGTGGAGCACGTCCTTCTCTGGCGAAAGGCACAATCTCCCCTTCAGCCTCCATTCCCATTTTCTACCACAGTTGTTCTCTACAGAAGCTTTGTTTCTCCTGCTCACTACAGACATCTCCAGCACTAAGGGCACCTTGAATACGCATCTAAAGATACCTTTCCAATTGCCATGTACTCACAGCAATTTAGAGTGAAACTTACATTTTAAATTAAAGGGGAAGAGAGAAACAAAAAAAAAGAAATCCTATTGGCATGCTGAAAGCAAACTGGTATCTGGACCTGAGTACAAATAGTGTCATGAGATGTGAACAAATTGTTCACAAAGAACAATCGAGATACAAGTTCAAAATACTCTTCTCCAGTACAAACTGTTCAAATACACACCCTACTCTTTTAAGAGTGTTGAGATTTTCTGCTCCAACACAAAACACGGGGAAGAAAGGGTGAAACCACATGCTGTACAACCAGAGAATGCTTTCTCCAGGATTTCTGTAACACTGAAAACGCTAATAGAAGTTCAGAGCACGAGCTGTTCAACCATGTTTACTGAAATTTTACTACCACTTCAAAAAGTAAAACTTAGGAAAAGAGGTACATTGTTGCCAAAATATGTTGGGTTCTTTGCATCTGTACAGGGAACAAATAAGAAAAAGTCACTATCAAGTTTGCAAATTAATATGAACAGACAGAAAGCAGATAAGGAGTAAGATGAAACAAATTGAAGAGTGGTGCGAAGTGTCTGGTTAGAATGCCTGTTTTTCAGGTTTGTTTATTTTGCTGCTATTTCTGGACAGAGAGAAAGGAACCATCATTTATGGTTTTTCTTGTGTTCTAAGGAGAAATCTCTGGAAAGGAAGTTACTGCAGAGGAATCATTGTACAAGGTGACAAATCTGAGAGCAAGACTGCAGTCATTCTTGACTTTGGCATGGAGCAATTGTGAAACTCCAGAAATTACAGTGAAATGAGACAACAACAAAGGGAAGAAGAAAAAGCAGAGGCATTCAACACTTTTTTGCCTCAGTCTTTAATAATACTGACAGACCTTGGACTGCCCCGTGTCCTGAGATGGAGGATCACGAGTGTAGGAACAGTGGCTTTCCATTTGTGAACACTTAAATTGTAAGGGACCGGCTGTATCAGCTGAATGTTCACAAGGCCATGGGGCCTGATGGGATTCATCCCAGAGTTCTGAAGGAGCTGGCAGATGTTGCAGCTGGACCCCTCTCTATCATCTACCAAAGATCTTGGGAGTCTAGGGAGGTCCCTGCTGACTGCAAGCTAGCCAGTGTTAGTCCAGTTTACAAAAAGGGCATGAGGGAAGACCCAGGGAACTACAGACCTGTTAGTCTAACCTCAGTTCCTGGAAAAATTATGAAGAAGATTATATTGGGTACTATTGAAAGGCATTTAAAGAATAATGCAATCCTCAGGCATGGTCAACATGGGTTCACAAAGGGAACTAATTTAATATCCTTCTGTGATAAGGTCACCTGCCCAGTGGATGAAGGGAAGGCAGTGGATGTAGTTTTTCCAGATTTTAGTAACGCTTTTGATAGTGTCCCTCACAGCATTCTTCTGGACAAGATGTCCAACTGCGGGATGAGCAGGTATGTGCTGCACTGGGTGAAGAATTGGCTGAAGAGTGGAGCTCAAAGGGTTGTAGCAAATGGGGATACACCTGGTTGGTGACCTGTCACCAGTGGTGTTCCTCAGGGCTCAATAATAGGGCCAGTTCTGTTCAACACATTCATCAATGATCTGGATGCAGGAGTACAAGCACCATTAGCAAGCTTGTTGATGATCCCAAATGGGGAGGTGCTGTTGACTCTCATGAGGGACAAGATGCCTTGCAGAGGTATCTAGATAGATCAGAGCATTTGGCAATAATTAATGGGATGAAATTTAACAAGTCCAAATGCCAGATCCTGCACCTAGGACAGAGTAATGCTGGACACAAGTACACATTGGGAGACGAGTGGCTGGGACGCAGACCTGCAGAAAGGGGTCTGGGGGCACTGGTTGATAGCAGGCTCAGTATAAGTCAACAGCCAAGAGGGCAAACCGCATCCCAGGGTGCATCAAACACAGCATGGCCAGGCGGTCAAAAGAGGTAATTATCCCACTGCATTGAGCAATGGTGCAGCTTCACCTTAAGTACTGTGTGCAGTTCTGGGCCCCACAATCTAAGAAGAATGGGAAGGTCCTGGAACGCATCCAGAGGAGGGCAACAAAGCTGGTAAAAGCGCTGGGAGGCATGTCCTGTGAGGAGAGGCTAAGGACTTTGCATTTGTCTAGTTTGGAAAAAAGGAGGCTGACGGGAGATGTCATTGCTCTCTACAGCTTCCTGAGGAGGGGAAGGGGAGAGGGAGGTACTGATCTCTTCGCCCTGGGATCCAGTGATAGGACGCATGGGAATGGTTCAAAGCTGCACCAGGGGAGGTTTAGAATGGACATTACAAAGCACTTTGAGACCTTTACTGAGAGGGTGGTCAAACACTGGAACAGGGTCCCTAGAGAGGTGGTCAATGCCCCAAGCCTGCCTGTGTTTAAGAGGCATTTGGACAATACCCTTAATAACATGATTTAACTTTTGGTCAACCTTGTAGGGGTCAGGCAGTTGGACCAGGTGATTGTTGTAGGTCCCTCCCAACTGAAATATCCTATCCTATCCTATCCTATCCTATCCTATCCTATCCTATCCTATCCTATCCTATCCTATCCTATCCCATCCTATTCTATCCCGTTCTGTTTTACTCAAACTACAGGAGATGGTCTATTTGGGTAGGGTGCATTTTAAGTGTATAAATCCTCATTTTCCCCTCTTAATGTTTCCTAACTTATTTAGTTGCATAATCTTTACTCACCTGCTTTACTTTCTATTGCAGGATTATTCTCATATGTAAAATAAAGCATACAAGTATTGCAAGGCTTGACTGTGGGTGAGTGAGTTGTACTACTGATTCTGATACGGTTGCTCATGAGGTATCATATTCAATGCGATGACAAGGGGGAAAATATCTGACAGATATCTGAATTAAAACAATAACCAAGGAAATGAGTATTAAAAAGTGGCAACTGATACCACAACTCGCACAAGAAGCAAAAAGGCAAGAAATACTGGCATGTCTTAATTATGGTGCAGTAAAGCCAAATATACTCTTGTCCTTTGGACTTTGGAGGGCTAATACACAGATAGGTCAATAATTGCCTTTTGTTGACCCAAGTTTGCTTATATCCTTTCACCACATAAGGCTGGCAAAATCCATCCTCTCTGCCACCATGATAATGCTTCTTCCCTGAACGACATGATTCCTGAGCTGATTCAAGGTCACCAAACACACTGGTGTTGGTGAACTCCTCTGACACTGCAGTGGCAGGAGCTGTAAACACCCATGCTCCACTCTCCGGTTTGCAAAGAAAGCTTCTCCATATTGAAGGCAAGCAGCACCAGTCAAAGCAGTTGACTGTGCACACACTCCACTGCCACTGAAAGCTACAAACCAACAAATGTTCAGTTGACCCAGGTCCTAGGAATGAAGGACTGAAGCTCTTTATTGCAGCCCCGCTGCTGGCAATGGGCTCCAATGCTTTTCCAGAGTTCTCCTTCACAATACCTGGACTTCATAAGGCAGAAAAAATGTAAAGCTTGCCTTTCAGCTGCACAACCGTATGGCAGCATCCAGTTCAGTCTGCAGAGGAGAAATCATACTTTTCCTTTAACAGTGATCAAAACAATTAAAGAACAATTAGTGGATAACCAATGTTGAAAGTACTGAGTTCCCTTCTATATATTAGTACGATGATTCAGTAGACAACCTTAGCAGGTACTTTATATTGCATCCACTGTATAAAGAGCAGCAGAGTGAGATGGTCTACTCAGTCTTTTTCATTTCTGGTTTCCTGGTGCATACAAGTTGTTTCCTCAGCTTTACATATAGCAGGTAAGTAACATAATTTATAGAACTAACAAATGATTTGCCTAATTGGTTAAAAATAAAAACCAAAACTGTATTTATTTGCTATAGGAATGTGTCTTATTTTGTAATTTTACCACAAGAAAAAAAACAACATACTACAGACAGCATGAAAACAATAATCAAAAAGAAAAGGAGAGTTAGTAACATATAAGAAGTCATTGCCCCTTTCCACAAAATAGAGAAGAAACTGAGTTAGTTGGGAAGTGATTTCCAATGACACAAATCACAAGATGTATTTAAGATAAACCATGTACAGTAACCATTTCAAGAGAGAGGAAAACATCACAACTAAGGCAAAACAAAATGATGTCTTATAAAGAAAGAGATTGCTACCTTTTTATGAAGTGCATGGAATTCACTATACCTCTTCTCCACAAAATGTTTCCTTCCGCTCATTAGCACCTCTATTTTAAAGACCTGAAAATTATAAACAATAAAAAGGAGATTAATGTGCTTGCACAAACACTTCTGTGACATGGCTGTGACTGCACATTTTACCACAGTCATTTCAGTAGGTGGTCTCAAAAAACCCATGACGACTCACAAGGTGCAGAAGTACAACAATGATTAATGGGAAGTATGGCCGAATCTTCGTTAAAAAGTTTGTTCAACAAACATACAAAAAGACGAGTTAAGCTTGGACTGTACACTGTATACTAAAAACTAAGGATTAAAATATTCCTTTTCAGAAATATTTAGTATATTTTGAAGTAGTTTAAAAAAGATACTAAAACAAAGAATGCTAAGAAAAAGAAATACAGAAAAGAAATAAAGATTCACTCTTTTTCCCTTTTACGATACAGCATATTAACACACTCACACGCGTTCAGGAAGAACTGGATAACCAATGCAGCATGTTATGCATGGAAAAGGAGAAATAAATGCAGGCACTATATCATAGGTTAATTTCCTCCTAACCTACAAATTCATCTGTAGTGTCAATTGAGCTTGTGCTACTATCTACACCCTAGGAAAAAAAAAAAGAAACATTGCAAATGCTTGTTTTCTTTGTATGATACATGTGACAGCTTTTGTTGCTGCCTCTGAAGGTTGAAAGGCCAGGAGAAGCAGCTCTCTGGATCCACTAATTAGTAGTCACTAACATGACATTTTCTTGATTCTCAGGTCACTGGGTCAGTTCTGAGGGCAAGTGATGAGAAATACTTTGAAATACTCAGGAAAACACGGTCTATTAAATGAAGACAAGATCAGCAGAAAAGCATACAGAAAATATGCCTGATCTATCTAGGAGTTCTTTGTTTTCTGTTTTGCTCAGAAAATGCTGGAAGTAATTATTTCCAGGACAATGAGAGACGATGTTCAGGACAGATGATTACATCACAACCCGAGACAGGCCAAATAAAAAAGTTCTTTGAGACATATTTGCAAACAGTGTTTATACCTAACACAGCAAAAAAGGGGTTTCTGTCACACCATACCCAGCTAGCGTTGATCAGAGCAAACACACAGAAACCATGCTGGATAAACACTGTCTATTGTCTACCAGAACCTGCTTTTCAAACAGGTCAAAATGGTACAGTTTTCTCTGGCTAGCCAAACCACATTAGAAACAGACAGCATTTTATTTAATCCAGACTGAAATGTGTCTACCTTTGTTTGAATGCAGTATGGATGGGACTGCAGTCATTTCACACCAATGTTTACATTACCAAAATTAGTTCAGATTGTTGTAATCCATCAAAATAACTTGTGCTACATTCTACCTCTTTGAAAAGGACTATTTCTGTGTCCTAATCGCTGTGAGCATATGACCTTATTTGGATGCATTGATTCCCCACCCCCCCCATCTATTTAGACTATTTTGGGAGAACAGCTATTGGCTATTTAACAATTTTCCTCTACACGTGAAAAAACTCTAAGGCACCCTTAGGAATATGTTGTAAGTTCAGAGTTGTAAAGAGAACCACATGCAAAGAAAAATCAATGTAGGCTTTTTTCTTTAGTTGAGACTTAACATCCTAATTATATGAGAGGAAAGAATTATTTACATTATTATTCTACACACTATATGAAAGACATAGTTCTGCAAGGAACAAAATGCTTTGGATTGTACAGGAAAACCATTGCATTGAAGTAGTTTCAAGGATACCTTGGTGGAAAGAATGGATTACAGAATATGAAACTAGTTAGAAGTGACCATGAGTTAAGGTGTTGCAACAGTTCTGAATTAACTTGATATTAAATCTCCAGCAATTATGAGCAACTCATAACACGCAGTTATACCTCAGTCAGCAAAGAGCCTCTGCACAACTGTCAGTTTAGCACTTTTGTTGGCTACAGGGTTTGCCAAGCAATTTGGAGAAGTCCCAGGGGCTTCTGCCTCAGCTGTAAGCACTCCCATGACAGGTAACTTTCTTGTGAATCATGGCTTGGCTTGTGCAGTCCCATTTTGGTTTTAGTCATATATGTGCAACTTCAGAGAAACATCTTTCCCTCTGAAGTCTATAAACCTGTCATTTCATAAATGAGAATAGTTGGAATATGGGGAAGAAAGGAAATACAAATCCCTCTGTGTACCTTCTTTTCAAACCATGTGTTTATTCTGTTCTGTGTTTCATCACTGGTTAAGGAATTACGGAAATGGCTTCAGAACACCAAAAATTATGCAGCATTTATTCAGCTTGCTTTTAAATCTTAGCAAAGTTTTAATTAGTTTGCATAATTTTTGCTAACAAGAGGACACTAAAGAATATATTTGCTGGTCACTTTCACAGAAGATGTGAGAAGAGACAACCACATCTTTCTGTGCACAGTGATGTCCTTTCCAAAATCACAAACCTGCTACCTTTACACCTTCAACTCTTTGCACCAGTACAGAGGTTTTAATATTGCCTCCTACTGTCCAGACTCCTTAGATCCAGCTTTAGCAGCCATCTAAAATTTACAAAACTGGACAACAGACCTGATGTTGAAAATCACTGTTTGAAAACAAAAGGCTGCAAATGGCATTTCTGATCTACTCGCTGTGGCACCTGTATTTCAGAAATTTAAAGGAACTTGTGATAAATAAGCCAAAAATCTGTATACATTTTTGTTTAATGCAAATCTAAATATTAAATTGATTTACAAAGTAACTTACAAAGCAGAAATGCATGTAGGTGAAATAACACGTATTGTGCTTATGAACTTCATATTATTAAATGACTACTTAGACAACATAAATTCCCAGTTTGTCTCCCCCCTGTTTACCATATCACCATTCTCAAGAGCAAACTAAAAGCACAGAAGTGAGTTTCTGTGCCTCTATTTCATATAATGACATGGCTTTGTGTGAAAGACAGAAAGATACATTAGCTTACGAGAGAGATGATAGGATCTTTTCATGGATTCAAAATAGCTATAGACAAATCTCACACAAATTTAACTGAGCAATTCCAGGCCCTGACAGAAAAACAATGTAAGGAAACTGGTGAACATAGATGAAAGTGCCAAAATAAAGACGGAAGAACTAGGGGGGAAAAATGCAACACTGCAAGGAAATTACTTTTCTTGTAAAAATGTTCATGTTCTATGAACAGATAACTCTGAAAAGACATATGACTTTTTATAAGTGACAGTTAGTTAAGTGAAAAATGCAACAATTAATCACTGCATAAGACAAGTAAAATGCTTTCCCATAGTCACTGAAATACCAGAAATTACACTGCACTGAAAGATTTGCAGTTTATCCTGACTAGGACACAAGGGACCACAGATATGAAGACACCAATTAGACAACTCTTTATGAGTACTCTGAAACTAGAAATGATTCATCTTTCTTGGTTACTACCACAACAGTTATCAATGATGTTTGCACAAAGCCAGAAGATCATTATCCATTAAAAGCATTCTTCCAACAGAATTTAACCCACATAAATGGTGTAGAAGACAAGCATTCAAGAAGAATCCCTAAGGTTTTTGTTAATAAGATAGCAAAAACTTTCAGGGTTACTACAAAACAGATTTACATATGATATTAAAAACAAACAAACAAACAAACAAACAACACAACATTTTTGCCTCTCTTCTTTGCCTCCACTTTATTCCGGTGATATAGATTATATTCAGATCTTGGAAACCATTTTTTTTCATTTCTTATTGTTAGCAGGTATGCCTAATTTTACCATTTTCCTGAATTTATCAGTTTCTCACCATTAGCAAACCTCTAACTGAATGAACCTTTTTAACTATTTTCAAGAATACCACCTATATTTCTCTTCTTGCTGCAGAAACTGGACAGTACTACAGAATAACTGAATTGGTTACATATGGGCAAACAACTGGTACTCTATCACTGTGAATTTCCAAGACAGAAAGCACAAATGGAAGAAAATAGGAACAAGTAAGACATACAAGAACCACCCATGCCTTCCTGTAAGGCTACTGGAGTTTTAAGTGCACATCAAGAACTATGTGGTAAATAACACTGACACGGCCCTCCTTTAGTTCTTACCTATGTCAAATGCTGACACTGGATATAAAAGGACATCTTTTATCTGATAATTTGATGTGAAAATACACAGATCAGGTAACTGTCTCAAAAAACCCAGAATGATCGGTTTAACAAAAAACACAGACAAGAATGCCAAACATGACCAGGAGTAGGGATGATAACTAACAAGAATAGTAACTTCTCAGCTTGGTTTTCTACTACTTAAGAAATACACAGATGGTACTTTTATATTCACTCATGGAATTACATCAACTACACAGTTTATAATTATGGTAAATTAATACTATTATATTGTGTATATTCATATATGGAAAAATGAATTGCAAAGTATATAAATTTTTGAAAAATTACAGATGAGAAAGAGTTTGGGCAGCCTTGTTTAGAATGAGGAGATACAAAAACCAGAAGCAGAAAAAGAGAAGTTTACAAAAAACAGATACATTTGTCTAACATTGACCAGGAAAGAAAACCCCACAAAATTCTAGTACTGTGCTTTTCTCTCTCAAGACCAAGCTCACCAACACTAATTCTATCTAAAATCTTAAAGAAATAAATACATCTCTTTAGATGCTTCAGTATGCTTGACAGACTTCTGTCTCACAAACAGCTAATGCATTCAAAGTGTCAAGAAACTTAACCTTAAACCTTTGTCATGGCCATATAGAAGGAATTCCAGAGCAAATGAAATGACAGCTACGGTCCATGAAACACTAATAGGATTTCCACGTGTTTAGTGTTTCATTATTGTGCAGACAATGGCACATTTTCTGTCTCAGTTGTGCTATGACTAGAACAAGACCACGGCATATAGGACAGATCAAAAGATGACTTTAAAACTATTTCCATCAACAGAATCAGTAAGAGCAGCTGGGTAGTGGCAGTACCCAGAGCTGCATGTAGCTGCAGCAGCAATTCGGTATCTCAGGGGTGTGAGTGCCTCATGGCAATGCTCCATACTT